AATCTGCTTATAGAATATTCTTTATAAGGTCTGATTTAAGTAAAATCCTAGGGAAGATCTAACAAAATCAGCAGTGCACGAACATGACTCACTTTGTCCAGAAGTTTCTTTGTCTCTTTAGTCAGATCATCATGGGAAAACTTGCAGTTGTCTCCTTGGTAGCACTTTGCTCCACTATGATAAAACTTGCAAGGAAATTCACGTAAACAAAAACATTAAGGAACAGATCAAGTACAAGCAAGATAACTGTGTGCGTGTGCAGATCTATGCATGCACATGTATACATACACGAGCCTGTATACATAGAGGGCAGAGATCAACACTGAGTGTCTATCACTCTCAACCTTAATTTTTAAGACAGTTTGTCACTGAACCTGGAACTCACCATTCAGCTACACTGGCTGGCCAGTGACCTCTAGGGATTTGTCTGTCTCCATCTACCGCCCAGCACTATGTACACATGCCACTGCACCCAACTTTTACATGGGTGTTACAGATCTGAACTCAGCTCCCCATGCTTGAATAGCAAGCATTCTCCAGAGCCATCATTCCAGGCCCAAGGCTGAGTCTTTTTCATTTGAAAAAGTAACTGTTATAAAGATGATTCACTTCCAGATATTTGCTGTATAACATTGTACCTACAATTAACACTTACATGTTATACCTTCTTAAAAATTGTTAAGAGAAGGCTGGAGAGATGACTCAGTGGTTAAGAGCACTGGCTGCTCTTCCAGGGGTCTGAGTTCAATTCCCAGAAACCACATGGTGTCTCATAACCATCTATGATGAGATCTGGCGCCCAGCATGCAGGCTTATATGCAGGCAGAATACAGTATACACAATAAATAAATAAACCTTAAAAAGAATTGTTGAGAATATATCTCATATTAAGTCTTCCTACCACAATAAAAAATGCTAAATCAATACAACTTTGCAAGTATTTGCTATACTGAAGAACCTGTAATCATGTCTAATAATGTATTATAGATCAATATTTTAATAATTCAGAAACACTAACAATTTCAAACTCCTATTCTACAACTACAAATGTACTTTTCTCATTTTTATTAGTTCTTTGAAAATTATATTCAGAATGTTTTGATTGATAATATTTGCTAATTATACTCCCTTCTCTATCCTCCCAACTTTGTACCACCCAAAACCAAAACCATCAAGTCTAATTTGTACTATCCATATATTCTTAGTCGTGTGACCTACAGGAGCACAGTCAACCTACCAAAAGCAATACTTTAAAAAAAAAACAACTGACTAATAGCTTCTCAGCTAGGGTGGGACTTCCTGTCAACATCCCCTCTCCATGCTTGGATTATTGTTCTTGAGTCTGCACATCTTGTGTTTCTGTCACACCTGTTCTGAGTTCATACACACAACAGCCCTGCTATGTCTGGAAAACACCGTTTCCTTGTAGTCATCCACTGCCTTTGGCTCTTAATATAGTTCTGTGTTGTGGAATGACCTTTTTATATACTGTGAAATGTATCTTTGCCAAGGCACCATTTTTTTTCCTAAGACAAGGTTTCTCTGTAGCTTTGGAGCCTGCCCTGGAACTAGTTCTTATAGACCAGGCTGGCCTTGAACTCAGAGATCCATCTACCTCTGCCTGCCGAGTACTGGGATTAAAGGTGTGCGCCACCACTACTGGGCTGCCAAGGTACCTCCTTAATGGTTTAATAAAAAGCTAACAGGCCATTAGCTAGGCAGGAGGTATAGGTAGGACAGCCAGATACAGGATTCTGGGAAGAAAAAGGTGGAGACGGCATGAGAAGCAGTGAGCAGTATGAACACTATGGAGATGAGGGAATATGAAGCATGGTTAATAAAAACTCAGAGAGAGAAACTGGGGTTCAACCTAAAGTTCAGAAAAGCAAAATAGCCGGCCACTTGCTCTTACCTTTACCTCAGTCCAAAAATGGCAATCCTGCTTCCAGAAATCACAGGTGAGACTGTGTCTGTGAGCTCTCTCCTCCAGTATTATAAACCTCTGTAGAGCTAGGATTAAAGGTGTGCACCACTAGGATTAAAGGCATGCACCACCTGGTTTCTATGGTAAACTAATGTGCCTACTGGAATTAAAGGTGTGTGTTACCACTGTCTGCTCTGTAAGGTTGACTAGTGGGGCTGTTTTACTCTCTGATCTTCAGGCAAGTTTTATTTATTAAAATATAAATGAAATGCCACTACAGTAATAAAGCTAAGAGGTGGAAAGTAAATGAAAAGAAATGGGTTAATTTAAGTTATAAGAACTACTTAGAAACAAACCTAAGAGTTTTTATAATTAATAGTAAGTGTCATGATTTGAGAGCTGGCTGAAGGAACAAAAAGATCTACCGACAGTTCTGCCCATTCTTACAAGGTTACCTGAGCCATGGGTGGGATGGTGACATACATGTCCCATTTAGGTCTAGCATGCCAGTTTTATTCTCTGCCCTAGATGGCTGTGGGTCTGTGTTAACCATCATTTACTTACTGCAAATAGAAGCTTTGATGAGGGTATGATAAGAGATGTACTAATACAAATGTACTTTTAAAAGAAAAAACATTTCTAACCATTATAGAAAAGGGTGCTGATTTTAATATATATGTGTCATTTCCTTCCAATGATTACATATTATAAAGAACAAAAAAAGTGTAAGAAATTTTTTTTATCTATGAAGGAAATAAAGGGAATTGAATATGTATGTTAAAAATAAAAATCCCAACAATTAAAGCCACAGACTAGTTTTACTTCACCATCTCAGGCATGGTGAAATACACCTTTTATCCCAGTCTTGGGGGCACAGATAGGTGAGTCTTTGTGAATTTAAGGCTGGAATGGTCCACATCCCTCTTGAGTTCTAGGGCAACACAATGTCTCAAAAGAGATAACAACAACAATAAAACCAAAACAAACAGAAGGACAAACTTAAGGGAGAAAAACATAAGACTAATTTTGGCTAATGCAAAAAACACTGATAAAATTCAAAATCCTTTTTAAAATTAATAAAAAAATCTTAATAAAATACACTTATTTTGATTTTTTAAAAAAAACTATGTTAAGACAAATATTTTGTCTTCCCCAATCACTACTATTAAACATTACTATAAAGGTATACTGAAAATAATTAAATTATAAAAGTCATGGTGACACACATTTGCAATCCCACAGGGCCAAGAGAATTCAAGGCCGCCTTGGGCAATATGGTGAGTGTAAAGTCAGTCTGGGCTATATAGTGAAACGCTGTCTCAAAATAAGAAAACAAACAACCCCCTAGAATAATCACAAACTATAATGAAATATAACAAAAGTGACTGAAATAAAATATCATTTATTTACAAGTGAAATGAGACCCTAAGAATGGAGTAGACACTTTTAAAAACAGAATTTGATATCCGGTTTCTAAAAAATGCTATCAAATCCGAAAACAATATGCTTGTATTTTCTTGACCAAAACAAATTGTATCTTAACAAAGAAATAAGGAGTACTTGTCAGATTATCAAATATACTCTTTGGGGAGGTAGGGTTCGAGATAGGATTTCTTTGTGTAGCCCTGGCTGTCCTGGAACCCAATCTATAGGTCAGATTGGTCTTAAACTCTGAGAGATCTGCTTGGCTATGCCTCTGGAGTGCTGGGATTAAAGGCATGTGTCGCCAAACCCGGCTCAAACACACTCTTTTGGAGGACAAACAGCACAAGAGATAAAAGTGTGCTACTGTACTTTCCCATCAAGAAAATTCTAGTGTCTCTTTTATCACAGCCTTGCTAATAATAAACAAAGTGTGTGTGTGTGTGTGTGTGTGTGTGTGTGTGTGTGTGCGCGCGCGCGCTCGCATCTGATGGCTGTTATCTTAGGGTGGCTTTAATTATATTCCTCTTACTATGAACAAGATAAAGCATCCTTCCATTTGATTTTTGACTACTTATTGTCTTTTTCTGTGAATTATCTTTCTCTCCTCCTCCCAACTTCTCAATTTTTAGGAAACTCTCACAGAATTTATGAAACTTTTATATATTTTTATATAATTTCCCATGTTTTACTTAGCTTGGAGATTTTTGTTTAAATTTAAATGCTTGCAGTCAAATTTTTAGTCTTTTCCCTTACTGATTCTGGTTTTGAGCCATACTAAGGTTTTCTATTCCCTGGGTTATAAAGAAATGCATTCCTATATTTCCAAGCACTTTGCATGTTTGAAGCACAGAGACTGTCAAGACTAGGTTTATACAATGTGTCACTTTAAATATAAGACCAAGCTAGGATTTTTAGATTGTATTTATGATTTTTTAAAAACCACAATGATGAAATATCAGTATGTCTGTTGACACCCATTTCTATAAAGGATATCATGCATATAAATGCAGTTTTCTCCTTTGGTACAATATCCCTGTAAATAGTATTTGCAGATCTCCTTTTTCTTCTCCAATTCTGCATCATGATCAAATTTACAATGATCTCCCTGTTTAAACAAAAGAAAACAGAAAAAAAGAATTCAGATCTATTCTCGCCATGTGTCTATGGTGGGAATCTAGTCATTATCCTTAGTGTTAGATACTGAGCTCCGAGAATGCAGATAATCTCTCTCAAGTCCTGCCCACACAGTGTATGTGGCCTCAGGACTCTGTCAGTGTCCCACCAGCACCCACCATCTCTAGACGTGGCATAGGAACTTATTTAACCTCTTGGTGTTCTGTCTACATCAGAACTAACAGCAGCAGCTAAGCAGTGCATCTGTAGGAGTAAAGGGCCGTGCTCCAGCCAGACCATGAATGCTTTCTGTCGCACTGTCAGAGAGCCACAATGGTATCTGTCACAAACGTTAACACATAGGCCAAGCGAAATCTGTTTTCTTCCCTTTCTTTGTTGCTGTCCCAGAATATAATTAAATGAGTTTGTATATACAGTAATTTCATGCAAGGTACATCTTAAATATCTAGTGTTATTGCAGCTACTTGAGCAGTAAAAGAACATAACCACTCCTCAAAGGACTAAATTCTAAGGATTACTTTGAAAGTTAGAATGCTCTATCATACCTTATGGTAACACTTACCTTAATACACCTCCCTTCCAGGAAGTATTTACAGATCTGTTTTCCTTTGTGTTCCACTGTGTGCTGGTTAATAAACTCCTGAGTCATAACTTTCCACTTTTTCCCTGGTTTATTGTACTGCAAGAAAAAATTCACTGGAATGTAAGATATGAAATATCAATACATATTAAACATACTTACATGGATCTGGAAAGCAGTATAAATTACCTATTAACAGTAATCAAGATTAGACATTCTGAGTCTATCCACTTAACTGGAGAGAAATGCTTCTGGTAGTCTTGTTTCCCACTACTACTGACTGCAAGGGAGCCTTTTTCCTTTTAAAGATGAATTTTAAAAATAAAATTATAAAAGGCTTGAAATTTCATAATAATAGTTAGGTTGGGTAAAGGTACTATAAAATATAGACTCCTGTGTATTGCTGACAGAAACATTATCAGCAACTTTAAACACCTACCCTGATGCCAAGGCTGCAGCTCGGCATGTCAGCACCTGCCTAGCATTGCACAAGGTCCAGGTTAATCCCCAGCACCACAAAAATAAGAAAATACATAATTGTTAAAAACAGAATTTTGACTTTTCAGAATTAGTCTAAAAACAGGGAAGCACACACAAAAAATTATTTGCAATAATTATTGCAAAATCACTTGCCACTGGAAACACTGAACATACACAAAACTAGGATACCAATAAATGATGCTATGCTACATTAAGGTGGTTGAATATTATGCAGTCACAATGAAATCATGTAACAGAAAGAACTTTAGGATACAAGAAATGCTCACAATCCTTTATGGAACAAAAACCTGACCTAATTTCCAGTAAGAAAAGCAAAGGTAATGACTAAAATGATTTGTCTTCCCATTTTGGTGCATGTGTTCAGATGCTGGGACGAGAGGTTTTGTACAGTGTGGTTTCTGTGCACTTCCTTAGAAAAGAAAGAACAGAAGTCACAAGTCACCTTCAGACTTAAGGGAAGAGAAGGGAGCACATTAAGTGAAGAAGCAACTTCACAGCTTTACTTCTTTCTGTGGTTCCCACTTACTATTCAACTTTGGTCCTAAGTACAAGATGGAATAAGGAGGCAGAATATATCACAGAAGCAGGCTAACTGTAATGATACACAATCACAAATTTTATATAATGCTTTTCAAGTATGAACTATGCCTTGAACATAATATGAACCCAGTAACTATTATTCTTTCTCATCTGATTAGTTTCCCCTTTTCCTTGGGCTTTTGCATGTGTCTACAATTGTTGGGGAATATTATGTTAAGGTGCATTTGCTTAACTCTGTGAAACTGTGTTACTGTGCCTGTCTAAAACACCTGATGATCTAATAAAGAAATGAACAGCCAACAGTGAGATAGGAACAAGGATAGGTGGGGCTGAAAGGCAGAGAGTATAAATAGAAGGAAAAATCTGGGGAGCAAGAAGGAGCAGCAAGAGAACAAGGGGAGGAGGAAATTAGGGGCAGCCACTCAGCAACACAGTCAACCACAGAGTAAGAAAGAAAGTAAGACATACAGATGTAAGAAAGATAAGAGCCCAGAGACAAAGGTAGATGGGCTAATATAAGTTAAGAAAAGTTTGGTTAGAAACAAGCCAAGCTAGGGTCAGGTAATTATAAATAAGAATAAGCCTCTGAGTGTCATTTATTTAGGAACTGGGTGGCAGTTCCCCTCAAAAATCCCAAAGAGTAAAATATCACATAACATAGAATCATAAGTATCTCTGGGCTGGGGAGATTCTCAGTCAGTACAGTGAGTGAGACAAACATTAGAGCCTATGTTTGAGCCCCAGAACCTACATAAAAAAGTCAGAAATGGTGATTTGTGTCTGTAATCCCAGTGTTAAGAAGGTAGACACAGGCAGATTCTTGGGGAATCTCTGACCAGTCATTCAGTCTAATGAGGGACCCTGTCTCAAAGAAGGTGCACAGTTCTTGAGCAACATATATAAGGTATTTACATACACATGTGCACCATACATGAACACACACTGACACATGTGCTTGCATACAAAGTTTCTCTCATTACAGTCAAGTAACTAACACATTTGATAATAAATTTTCATCTTGATTTCCCTACTGAGTAATAAAGAGACTAGTTAGCGCCTGCATCTAGAGGCATTTAAAACGTTAGTGTTTGCAGGCATCCTCAAGAGTTAACACTATATGCCTTCATTTTACAGAGTTAAGTAGAAACAGACAGGAACTTTTTTGAGAATGGATTATTCTTAGGCCTACTGTATAAGTATCAGGAATGGAGCAAACTTACTTAAAAGGTTTACTTTACTTAAAAGCAATACATTCTAGAAATCTATTATGTCTAGGAAAATGAACAGATACAGTAATAGCAAAAACTATGATATGAAATCTCTTATCCATGGAACATGAGATACTGACTAAATAGGTGAGGAAAGGAGAGCTGAGAACAATGGATTAACAAAGTAAAAATAGCCTCTTTATGCCTAACCTGCTCATAACTTTTCATACATGAAATGTTGACTGATATCCCCTAAATCATGGTGGTATTACTGCATCTTACAAATTAATCTGGTCATGAACTTTAAAAAATTTTCAGATCTGTTTATTTTCATGTATGACTGTTTTGCCTATATGTATGTCTATATGTCATGTCAAATCAGAGTGGCAGATCCCCTGGAACTGGATTTATGAATGGCTGTGAGCCACTATGTGGGTGCTAAGAACAAAACCAGGATCATCTATAAACACAAGTGCTCTTAACTACTGAGCCATCTCTTCAACACAAACTTTTTTTTAAACCTTATAAAAAAAAACTTGCAAATAAAATCACACACTGAAATTAACCAGATCCAAAGTCTTCACAGTTCAATAACCTTCCAGTGGTTCTCAACCTGTGGGTCATGACCCCTTTTGCAAACCTCCATCTCCCAAAAAAATACTGACATCACAATTTATAAGAGTAGTAAAATTACAGTTATGAAGTAGCATTGAAAATAATTTTATGGTTGGGAATCACATAGCATAAGGAATTGTATTAAAGAGTCACAGCATCAGGAAGGTTGAGAACCACTGTTGTAAAGAGTTAGTGTAATCATTTGAAAGAGAAGCTGTGGAACTTCACATTGGATTTTATACTTTCACTACCAAATATATTATGCACTTATCCACCATGTAAACTGAAAAGTCCATGACAGAGTCAGAACTAGAGAAACATGGGAATATGCCCTTTCGGAGCTCGCGTTCATTACTGGCACTCAGTCCTTCTTGCGCCTATTACTTGGCCCACTTGTTCTCTTTCTACATGCTCTACTGTATCCATTGTGCATTTGTTCACATACACACAGCCACTATTGGCTAGATTCGACATGTGAGGGCAAACACACACTTTTTTGTTTCACAACACATACTCTATGTTCATCTATTTTCCTGAAAATTTTGTGATTACATATTTTAGAACTGAAAATTATCAATTTTATATCTAAATTTTCATTACCCATTTGTCAGTTGATGGGCAACTAGGTTGATTCCAATTCTTCAATTCTTTTTTTATATAGTATCCTGCCTATAGGCCAGAAGAGGGCACTAGATGTCATTATAGGTGGTTGTGAGCCACCATGTGGTTGCTGGGAATTGAACTCAGGACCTCTGGAAGAGCAGTCAGTGCTCTTAACTGCTGAGCCATCTCTCCAGCCCCAGTTCTTCAATTCTTTACCATAAAATAAAACAGCAATAAATATAGGGGTACAAATATCGTTATGGCATTTTTTATTTTTAGATCAAACTTGTGAATATACCCTTAAATAGTATTCTAAGTAGTACACAGTAAGAAACCTCTGCCCATTATCTAATATCCACCAAAAAGCAAGCATTTTTATTTCTTTTTAAAATGTATTATTTTTATTTTCTGTGTATGAATATCTTGCCTACAGTATTTATGTACATCACGTGTGTGCCTGGTGCCTGAAGGGGCCAGAGAGGATGTCAGATCCCCTAGAACTGGAGTTATAGGTGACTGTAAGCTGCCATCTAGGTGCTGTGAATTGAATCTGTGTTCTCTGCAGTAGCAGTAAGTGCTTTTAACTGCTAAGGCTTCTCTCTAGCTCCAAAGCAAGCATTTTCAAACTATAGCCATGCAGTTTATTCAAGGTTTCTGGGGTTTTTTGTTTGGTTGTTTTTTGTTTTTGTTTTTGTTGTTGTTTGTTTATTTTTTGAGACAGGGTTTCTCTGTGTAACAGCCCTAGCTGCCCTGGAACTAGTTCTTCTAAACCAGTCTGGCCTTAAATTCACAGAGATCCACCTGTTTCTATCTCCCAAGTGCTGGGATTAAAGGTGTGAGCCGAACTGCCCGGCCAAGGTTGTTGTTTTTAAAAGTCTATTCTGGTGCCTATGAGAGAGTCTGCTGGTTGAGGCCCCTGCACCAAATCCCAGGACCTGTGGGACCCACATAGTGGAGAGAAGCAGCAGGTTGTCTTCTGACCTCCATCTGTGCTGTCCCTACATATTCATGCATGAGCACAAAATACATAAAATGTAATGAGCACATTAGAGCACTCTTGCCTCCATCTAACTGAATCAAAGCTAGAATCGTGATAGAAAACAGAATTGGATAACTACAAGCCAGAGCTGCTGAAATATACATGCATCAAAATTCAACTCAATCTAACATGTATTTGCTGAATAACTGTAACATGAAAAGTATTTAAGTTCATCTTTCTGATTATTTATACATCCTTTCCCCCTTTTCAATGCTCTCAGCTCTGATAATTAGATAAACGTACTAGCACCTTCCTTCCTGGCCCACTGAGTTATATTCCCCTGTTATAGCTACTTGCATTGGGGAAAATAACCTCTAGGGAAGAAAAGCCAAGGTGAAGGAATAGGGGTATGTTTTTGCTTGGAAACATATGAATTTTATTTTGAGGCTTTTCATATACACTCATTTTATTTCTAGGTTTATATGTACCTATATATTAATACCATGTCTAACTTATAAAATTCTTTTGGAAGGATTTTATTCATATTCATTGGATCTCAGCTGGACATTTTTCATTGATTCAGATAGTAGCATTACAGACACAATGCATTCTTTGCAACCAAGCGATTTAAAAATGAAAAAAAGGTCTTCCCCTCCTTACACATAAGTTCTCAGTACCTCTTGAAAGTCATCCATTCCTGAAAAGACATTAGGCCCTTTAGTGACTCTTGCCCCACGATGTTCTTTTCTTTTGATTTTCTTCGGCAAAATATGTCCATGACTAGTATTAAAATTTTTAATTCGATATTCAGTACCTGAAAAAGTTAAAATGTACTTCAAATATTACAGAAAAGTAGTGTAACTAACATCAATTAGCTTACAAATACCAATGTGTCTTTAATAGTCTACAGTGAATCATCCTTTTTTCCCCTAAGAGCCAGTGAGAAAATTAACCCATCTCTATCTTTTGAGTGTTGCTTCCTGCTCAGAAGATGGCGGTGTTAGCTGCACAGGATGTAAGGCTTAAGAGTATCCATGTCTAGAAAAGCTACTCTTGTCTCTCCCTCCCCATCTTGGAATAAGACGATTAACAAGTAAACTAACCATTATATTCATATTTTAAGAAAGATATATATATATATATATATATAACAGTAGTTTATCTGTAGCAAGTCAGATTTCTACTGATAATTTTGTTTCTATATATACACACATATCTTCATTCATTGCTTTTGAAAATGACGTGATTTTAAAGTGTCTCCCTAGCATCGAAGAGGCCGATCCTAGCGCTTGAGAGGCTGAGGTAGGAGGAACACACGTTTGAGACTACACTGGGCTACACAGTAAGATGTTGTACCCAACAAAAGTATCTAAAAGGGTGCTCCAGGGATACAGCTTACTAGTAGAAAGCTTGCCTGGCATACCTGAGACCCTGGGTTCAATCTCCAGTACTGCAAAAAATAAAATATTTGGAAAGATGTCCAATTTGAAAAATTGTATGTTGGTACTTGGGAGGCATAGACAAGAGTACTACCAAGAGTTCCAGGACAGGAAGGGTTACCCAGTGAGACTCTGTCTCAAAACAAACAATACAAACAGGATACCAAATTACAATACAATGTAACTTTAATATTTTATCAAAATTATATAGAACTCATAAGCTTTTTAATGACCTATTAAACAACCAGTAAATATGTGAAAATTTTCGCTTTGTTACAGGACATCAAGAGGGCTACCGAAATGGCTCAGCAGTTAAAACTACATACTGCTCTTGCAGAAGACCTGAATCAGTTCCCAGAACCCACATTAAGCAACTCACAATCATCTTTAACTCTAGCTCCAGAGGATCTGATGCCCTCTTCTGGCTTCTGTGGGCACCTGAACTCCTGTGCATACACACACACACACACACACACACACACACACACACACACACACACTTAAAAATATCAAATTTAAAAATAAAGAAATTAAATAACAAATAGAGAACATACTCATATCTATCTCAAAACTATAAGGGTCTGTGCTGACAGGAATTTAGAGGACGTGCACTTTTATATGCTGAAAAGTACAGTTATAAAAATACTGGCATATCAACTTTTCAGATGTCAACTTGACATATGGATTCAAACGTCTGTGTATGGCTATGTTTTTAAATTGTGGAAATTTATTTTTCATAACTGATTATTTTAGTTTGTTTTTGTTTTGAGGCAGGTTCTGACCTTGTAGTCCAGGCTGACCTAGAATTCCCAGTGATCTTTCCATCTTAGTTTCTCAAGTGCTGGGATTATAAACATAAGCAACCACATCTGGTTCATAATTAATTCTTTTTGTTTTGTTTTGAGACTGGGTCTCTATGAAGTTCTGGTTGATCAGAGCTCACTATGTAGACGAAGCTGACATTGAATTCACACATATTCTCCTGCCTCTGCCTCCATGGTGCTAGGATTAAAGACATGCACAACCATGCCTTCCCTTTTTAAAAAACATTAGATTTATTCTTGAAAAGGAACTAAGAAATTTGTTATTGTAATCCTATATGGTTCTCATATTCTAAGACAGGCTAACTTTAAACTCACCTGATGGGCTTCCTTTAGTTCTCTTTTTCCCTGATTCTTTAGAAAATGAAGAACCCGAAGATTCCTGAGATTGTCTATAGTATTTCAGCTGACTGGAAAAGTCTTCTTCTCCCTCGTGGTTGTAATTACCAAAGTTGTCATCACTGTAGTTACCAAAGTTGTCATCACTGTAGAAACTAGACTCAGCATATTCTTTACTGTTGAATTTTTTGTTATGCTGACTCTTCTTTGATGTCATGTAACTTCCTGAAATATGTCCATGCTAGGTAAAAATGGACAACCATTATCAGAAATGTTCAACTAATAATAGAAACCGATAGCAACACAGAGTATCTTTTCCCCCAGAAGTTGGGAGAACAAAGGATGGAAGACAGTTATTAGTTTTGACTACATTAGTATTTCCTTATGAATATATTTAACGCTAAATTCAGTACATTAGATGCCACTTCTTTATTATACTTTTTTGTATGAAAACATTGTACTTTTTATTCTTTAGCTTTTATTTTCCATGTCTGTGTCTCAATAGTTATGTGTTCTTTGCTTAATATTGTTTATATTGTTTGTAATTTTATATTTGATATCTGTTCCTATTGTATATAGTTGTATTGGGTTTGGATCGATCTTGTTTAGACAAAAGGGGGAGATGATGGGAAGCTCTGTTGACCAATTATGCCTAGTTAAGGCCTGGCTACCTGGAACCCAGAAAGAAAACTGGGACGGACCAGGTGCACGCTCTCACTGTGCATTCCCACTGAACACAGAAGTCGGACTCCCCATTCTTGTGGTGTGAGTTTCCCATTATAACCATTAAAAATATAATTGCTACCCTTAAGCAATTCGAGCTAATTCGCAACACCTCATTTCATAAAACAAATGCTACTAGATGTAGGGATGTAAGATTAACCTCAACACAATAATCATGAGTGACTTCAATACTCTACTCTCATCAGTAGATAGGTCATTGTGACAAGAAAAAGAGAAACATTTGAGTTAAATTACATCATAAATCAAATGGACCTAAGACAACTACTGTACACTCCATCTGAACACTGCAAAATACATATTCTCTTCAGCAGCTGATGGATTTTTTCCAAAAGAAATTATGTAAAAGAACATAAATCAAGTCTTGTTTATTAATTTGTTTATTTTACATTCTAACCACAGCTTTCCCTCCCTCCTTTCCCCCATTCTCTCTCCTCTCCTCCCTTCTGCTCCCCCCCAATCTACCCCTTCTTCATAATCATACAGAAAGGGAGAGGTCTCCCATGGGCTTCAGCAAAGCATGGGAATCAAGCTACCACAAAACCAAGCACCCCTTCCCCCCATATTCAGGCTGTATACGACAATTCAGCATGAGGAAGAGATTCCTAAGAGTCAGTCAAAGCACTGGGGACAGCTCTGCTCCCATTGCCGGGAGTACCACATACAGACCAATCTACACAATTGCCACATATATGTAGAAGGCCTAAGTAGGTCCCATGTAGGTTTCCTGATTGTTGGTTCAGACTCTGTAAGTCCCCCTGAGCCAGACTAGTGCATAAACCAAATCTTAACAAATACAGGAAAATTGAAATAATTCCTGTACTCTATTTGAACATAATGGAATAAAACTAGAAATCGACAAGAGAAACTATAGAATAAACACAAATTCATGAATATTGAACACCACACTCCTGAATGATGAACGAGTCATCCAGTACCTCAGAACAGAAATTTTAAAATTGCTAAAACTGAACTAAATTATAACATAACACATCAAAATGTATGTGTTCTAGTATTGTTTCCTGTCATTATGATAAAAACACCCTGACACAAACAATCCAGGGCTTGTTTCAGCGCACAGTTTCAGGTCATAGGCCATCATAGCAGGGAAGTCACAGGAGCTTCAGGGTGTTGGTCATATCACATCCATAATCAGGACCAGAGAGCATAAGAATGAATGAATGAGTGGATCAATGAATGAATGCATACATGCTTCTAGGGTTCAGCTTGTTCTTTCCTTTCCATTTCAATCATCATGTCCATGAAGTGATGCTGCCCATATTTAGGGTGGGTCTTCCCAACCTCAATTCACCCAAATAAGAAAATCCCCTAAAGGTTAACCTAATCCAGATAATCACTAGACTCTCTGATTGTGTCAAATTGACAATTTAAACCATTGCATGGTAGGTGTGGAGGCATGTATCTATAATCCCCTGCATACTCAGAGTCAGGCAGGTCTAAGATTATTAAATTCAGAAACAAGACAAAAATGTTCAGTCTCCACTCCTATTCACTATAATGCATGAAGTCTTAGCTAGAGCAATATGACAAAGAAGAAAATAAAAGATACATAGGACAAAGAAGTAAAAGCATATTTATTCATATTTATGATAGGATTCTATACATTAGAGACCCTGAAAACTCCATCCACAAACTCTCAGATCTGATAAACAGTTTCAGAAAAGTAGCAAAGCAAGTTATGAAGTTAACACAGAAATCAGCAGCCGTCCTTTATACCAACATCAGACGTCCTAAAGATGGAACCAGAAGAGCAATCCCTTTCGTAATCATTTTCTTAGAAGACAATATGTAGCTAAGGAAGTAGGAAGTACTCTGTTGTGGGACATTTGTACACTGTGTGAAGACGTGTTGCTGTGACTGGTGTAATAAAAAGCTCAACGGCCAATAGTCAGGAAGGAGCATATAGGTCAGACGTCTGAGCCAAGAGAACTCTAGGAAGAATAAAGGCAGAATTGCCAGCCAGATGCAGAGAAAGCAGAGATGAGGTAATAAACCTCATAGAAGAACATAGATTAAAAATATGGGTTAATTTAAGTAACAATAACTAGTTAAGAACAAGCCTAAGTTAAGACTGAGCTTTCATAATTAATAATAAGTCTCTGTGCCATTTGTGAGCTGGCAGCCCAAAGAAAAATCCAACTACAGTACTTAATAATGAAAACTTAAATGCTGGATAAAGAAACTGAAGAAAACACTAGAAAAAGGGAATAATTCCCATGTTCATCAATTAGAAGAATGAAAAGGCAATCTACAGATTCAAGGCAATCCCCATCAAAATGACAATACCTACTTCACAGAAGCTGAAAAAAATCTTAAAATTCATAAAGAAATATGAGACTCCGAATAATGAAAGCAATGCTAAGCTATAACAATAATGATAATGTTGAGGTCTTTCACAAAGAGAGAATCTTTCTCTAATAGTGAAATACTACTGAGTGAAAAAATTACAAGAGACATTAATTTCATTACAGCCAATAAAAACAGAGAAGAACAAGCACTGGCAAGGATACAGAGACGATGGCTCAGGCTTTCCTGATGGAAATGTAAAACAGTACAATCTGTGAGAGCAGTTTAGTGCTTCCTCAGAAAGTTAAAGAGAATGACCAATCATTTCACTATTAGGCATATGCTCCAAGAAAACAAATGAAAGGTTTTGAAGATAATTTTATACCCATTTTCATAAACTGAATATTCACAACAGTAAAAAAGTACAAACAATCCAAGGGTCCCTCAACAGATGAGCGGATAAGCAAAAATGTAGCTTATACAACAATGGAGTGTTGTTAAGTCTTAAAAAGAATGAAATTTTAATATATGTTCAACATGAATGAATCATGAAAACATGCTGAGTAATACAAGCCAGATTCAAAAGAACAAAAGTAGTGGTTATTATTTGTGTTTCAATAAATAAAGCTTACCTGAAGTCAGCGGGCAAAGCAGCCACACTAGTCAACAATACAGGCCAGGGAGTAGTAGTGCACATCTTTAATCCCAGAATTTGAGAGACAGAGGCAGACAGATCTCTGTGAGTTCAAGGCCACCCTAGGCTAGACAAGACTGAATCTGTCTAAAAGAGAAACAGAGCTCACACAAAGGTGATTCCAGCACTTGGGATCCCACACCTTTAATCGCTGCACTAGGGAGGCAGAGAGAGGAGCCATATGTCCAGGTAAAGAGAGAGGACTATAAAGGGGAAGAGACAGGAACGGAACTCAGTAGAGTGTAGAATGTGGAGTCTGAGGTTTGGCAGTCTGAGGATTGCCCTTTCAATCTGAGCATTGGTAGGGGTAAAAGGTCTCTCTAGTGGTTGGCTGCTTTGCTTTTCTAATCTTCAGATTGAACCCCAATATCTGTCTCTCGATTTTTATTATTCATGTTACACAAAAGGATATGATACAAGGGCCCTAGAAAAGATGATGAAAGTGAGGGCAGCAGTTAGAAGAGTGAGGAACAGGGCTCCTCCATGATACAGTATCTGTTTCAAATGGGCACAAAGCCTGGAGATGGACAGTAGTGATACGCAAATACTGCAGATGTATTTAATATCACTAAATCATACTCTGAAAGGCAGTTACTTGGTATATTTTATGTTGTACATGTTTTTATCATAATAAAAAGACAATACCTGAGAAAATGGAATGTCATAATCCCTGTAGAAGCTAGTTCTTTTCTTATAGGAACTTTCCATATGTTCAACATCTGAATCCAGGCTGTAGTCAGAACTCTCATCGCCAGATGGAGAGTTGTGCTGAAAGGAAACAAAGAAATGTGTTTATTCACAAGAAGGAAACTAGTGCATAATCACATATGCTTGTTTCGGGCAGTGGTGCCAGCCAGTAGGGTACATTATGGCCTTAGACTCTTGGATGACATTGAGAAATTCTTGCTCTAGGCTGGAGAGATGACTCAGTCATTAAATACCAGGCTCACAATCAAAACGGGAAAGTCTTGCTCTAAAGGCCACCACAACTTCTAGGCTGAAGAACTTTTTCCCGTTTGCTCAGGGACTTTATGGACATATGTTTCTCATCAACCCCATGCCAAGAGCTTAAAATAGAAATCACTTGGCATTTATACATTTACGCTTCTCTGCCTCAGCCTCCCAGAGCTGGTATTACAGGTGCATGCCACCATGTTCAGTTTAATCGAATATTAAAGGAAATAAAATTGACTCCTCATTACCAAAAGGTTCCAGAACATGAGTAGAATATGCATTCATTTAATCTTGTCTAAAGTTGCTTTGGAGTTATTTATTGGCACGAAAATCCTAAACTATTCCAAATTACCTACATGAAATGAATCCAGTCACCAAAACTGAACAAAAGTAAAATGAAAACCCCAAGTGGTTGATAATAGTTAACAAAATACGAGAAAAAGTTTATTTACATTGTAATGTAATTTCAAATTAAAAAAAAAACCCAACAAGTATTTTTGCTTTTGTTTTTTGAGACAAGGTCTCACTATCTAATCCTGGCTAGTTTGGCACTCTCTGTGTAGACCAGACTATCCTCAAACTCACAGATATTCACCTGCCTCTACTTCAGTAGTATAAGCTTTTTTTGTCTGGCCAAAATAATTACCTCCTCAACTTAAGTTCTTTAAGCAGTTCTTAGTATTCTTCACAACAAAAACACTGGCTCTGCATTCTTTAATCTGTAAATTTCCATCATAAGTATGTCACAAACTAAGTTAAATTCTATTTAATTGAACTGAACTCTAAGATTTTTATAGAGGCAGGGTCTGTTTTCCTTTGCTTAGTATTCCTTTACTTCTAAATGTTTGGAGATTGGTTTTCTGTTTTCAGTTTTGATTTTACCTATTTGACAGATGAACAACCTTTTTACAATTATGCTACCAAGTATTTCAAATACATAGCCATTGTTGGTTAGGGTTTGAAATAAACATTGTCCATTAGGAGATAATTTTGCTCAATCAGTCATTACTTGATTGATTGCTGTGTGATATTTTGATCACATTCTGACACTCCCGAGACTGCCAATAAGAATTTGCTTTTAATCAGTGGGCAGATCTAGTTTTTAGCTGACCAAAATTAACCAGGAAGGTTTTGGAAGACTGAGGACAGAAAGATAGAAAGTAGTAGGGCGGGGCTTAGAGAGGGTCTCGTCCTGTTTTGGATAAAGGAATGAGGGAGGAAGAGGAAGGTCTCTAGTCGCTTCTCTATCACTTCTCTGATATTCAGGCTTTTACCCTGATATCTCTGATTCCTGAATTTTATTAATAAAGAATAGCCAGATGAGCACTTAAATTGATCTCTCTGGATTATGTGAATTATATTAGCCTGTTTCTTACTACTATGTTCTATTTCTTCTTAGTCATTACCAGCTCCTGCTATGACAGTAGTTATTTTGACAGTATTATTAAATTTAATAATGTATATATTCATTTTGAATTGTGACTTTTATCATTAGAAAAGGCCTTTCTTTGAGAGGGTGGTTTTAAGACTCGGTGTCTATATATAGTCTACACCAAACACAGTAGTCTTGTGCTGGGGGGAAAGAAGCAGAAGAACCAGGAGTTTAGGCTCATCTTCAGCTACAAAATGAATTCTACTGCTCGGTTACATGAGATATGGTCTCACACAAGTGAGTAAGCAAACAAGAACAAAAAGGAATGGAAAGTTAGGTTAACTTAACTTACCTTATGTTTCTCATGCTTTCTTCTTTTGGATTTCTTCTTTTCTCTTTCTTTCTTGTGTTTTTTTCTTGATTTTCTGTAGGCTTTCTCATTTTTCTGCTTTTCATTCTCTTTTGCTTCCTGATCTTGTGTTTCTTCAAATCCTGCGTCATCTATTTCACCATCTTCTAATTCACCATCTTCTCTGTAGAAAATAATGAAAATTTTACACTTCAAATGTTAATTCTAAAACAAATTAAAAAATATTCTGAAAAGTATTCCAAAAACTTAAACTTCATTTATACAGATAAAAACTGGAAATTTTTCTCAATAAGGATCCAGTAAGTAAACATTTTACTTTTTAAAGAGTATCTTTGGTTTTTGTTACAAATTCTTCCCTTAAAAAAAATTAAACTGTAACAATCACTCTTAGCCACCAAAGTCTGTCAATCTCTACTTTATTTTTTAAAATAATTTATTTAACTTTTATTTCATGTGCATTGGTATGAAGGTGTCAGAGCCCTTGGGACTGTAGTTACAGACAGTTGTGAGCTGCCATATGGATGCTGGAATTTGAACCCGGATCCTCTGAAAGAGGAGCCAGTGCTCTTAACCTCTGAGCTATTTCTCCAGCCCTGAATCTCTACTTTAGATTAAGATCACTGGTTCTCCCAAAATGAATGAATGAATATAACGTAATTACAAACTATTACAATTAACAGTGACTAAACTACTTTCAAGGAAAACAAATGAATTAAGGAAATACTCTAATTACAAGAGAAACTTTCAATTTGTGACCTGTAGGTAGATTAATTAGTTTTAAGATAAAGGTGACCTACGGTATTTTTACCATCAGAGTAAATTTCAGTAAGTAGTTATGCACAGATTTAATTGAAAGATAAAATCCAAGCCACAAAAGGTTGACAAATTCCTCAACTTTCATTTATAAAATACATAAAATTATACACCTAATTCCACTTTCCCATGACTACTGTCTTTGCTATTATCAAAGCTAAATCCTAGAAACTAATTTTTAATGCTGTCTCATTTTCAGTTATAGAAACTAAAGTTTTAATTCTATTCTAAAATTCAAACCAAATGATAAACACCAAGTTATGATGTGAGCATCTTAAAGGTAAGTTGGAATTACTAGGAATGTATAATGTTTAAAATATAAACTGTTCATGTCATCCTCTTGTTAAAAATCTTCAATAATAATGCAGTAACTCAAAGTTGTCTCAAGTTTATCTACTTGTGAGAGAGGAAGTGGTCTCAAGAGAACTGGGAATTGGTAGTTAAGGAAACTGGTTTGTGTAAGTAAAGACTCATTATACTCTTCTTTATATATTCAATATCTTCTTAATAAACAGTCTTCAATGGCTCCGTTCTGGCCCAAGGCTGATATCAATTGATATTTATTATTCAAAGGCCCTTAATAATTGAGTCCCCACTTGGCCAGCTAATTTCAGTATCTGAAGTCTCCAGGACTTAAAATATCATCTAAAATTTCTCATTGACCTATTCACCTCAGTAACAACTTCCTAGTATTTCAATAGATTTAGAAAACAAATTGGATGCCATTTCCTCCAAGATGCCTCCTCTTACTAACTCTAGTTTAGAGGAGAGACTCCAGGTACTGCCCTGCAGGTCCTGTTATTGCACTCAAACACTATGTTCTAATCACCTGTTCCCTGCTTGGTGAATGAAAGGTTTGACTGTCTTTCCTCTGGCATCTAGCACAGTATCTACTATTGCTCAGTCACTGATCATGTCATACCCATACAGAACAGGTATAGGATACTATCCTGAATGGTCATAGCTATTTTCCCCCAGTTCTATTGAAATGGTGTAGTGTTTGAATGAGAATGCCCACCTGCCAGGCTCATATATTGGAATGCTTGTTCAACAGTTGGTAGAATTGTCTCAGAAAGATTAAGAGGTGTGGCCCTGCTGGAGAAAGTACACCACTGGGAGACTTTGAGCTTTAAAGGCCCATGCCATTCCCAGTGAGCTTCTCTGTCTTTTCCTCCCTTTTGACTCCTCCCTCCCTTCTTCCCTCCTCCCTTCCACTCTCATTCTGCCACACATGCCACCATAACAGCCACGGACTCAGCAATCTGAATCTGTAAGCAAGCCCTCAATTAAATGATTTCTTTCATAAGTTACCTTGGTCATGGTGTCTACTCACAGCAATAGAAAAGTAGCTAAGATAATGGTGTATTTTCCCTTACATGGACTTAACATGTTCTGTGAGCGAGGTTTGCATTCTGCTATCTTTAATATTTATTTATTTATTACGCATACAATATTCTGCCTGTGTGTATGCCTGTAGGTCAGAAGAGGGCACCAGACCCCATTACAGATGGTTGTGAGCCACCATGTGGTTGCTGGGAATTGAACTCAGGACCTTTGGAAGAGCAGGCAATGCTCCTAACCTCTGAGCCATCTCTCCAGCCCGCATTCTGCTATCTTGATGATGGTGATGATAACAATGATGATGTATTTACTACTGTTGCTATTGCTATGTGCACATGATGCATATGCGGAGCAGGCATGTAGTGATCAGAGGACCACTCTGCAGAGACAATTCTGTCCTTCCACTTTTGAGAGGGCCCCAGCATCACGTTTATGTTATAAGCTTCACATCAACTACCTCACTGGCCTTGGTCCCATCTGTTCAAATTAATTTTTTTGCATTTGAAAACAATTATAGAATTCTTCGGCCCAATAAAATTAGTGAATATACTAACTATAAAGCAAGTATTAAAATGTTTTTAATAACTTTAGTTATAAAAAATAAAAAACTGTAAACACACATATCTCTATCAACATGTGAACAGATACATAAATTGATTTATGTAATACAATAAAGAGAAACTTGCTGATAGAAAACAACATGGCTGAATCTTACAGACATAATGATTAATCAAATGGCACAACACTACTGTATCATTCCACTTCAAGAACAGACAAAATCTGTAGTGACAGAAGCCAGACTAGTTCTTTTGAAGGAGTAGAAATAACAGAGGGGGCTACTTCAGGGTACTGAAATAGTTAGAATACTGACTGTTCTGTGATCGCTACATGTAACTATATGTGCACATGTGTATGTGTGTATATGTATACGTAAATTTACCACATTGTGGACTCGACAATTGTGCACTTTATTTTAAAATAATTCCCCAACTCTATGGGTATGTATCCCTTTTTTGCTATCTTTCTATCCCAATTAAAGCTCTTTAAAGAATTAAAATTTGTATACATGAAATTCAGTAACTCATATTTGGCATTTTTATTACAGCTATTTAAAAACAAAGTAAACAAGCTGAAAATGCAGTATGAGTCTGTTTCCTGTTTTAACACAAATTCTGTACCTGTGAAATATGTGATATTGAAGTCACTGCAATTTTTTTTCTCTCTGCTCCTTTAGCCTATTTATGATTTCAGCTTTCACATAAAAACAGATAAAAACATGGACATTTCTGTTTCATTATAAAAAATGAGAGAAAGGGAAAATAATTTACATTCCTATAAACTGCTTTCAAACACTTTAAGAGTCATCATTGGATGCATATGAAAAATGTGTGTCATAATATAAAGAGGGGAAACTTAATGGGAGGAAAGCCAGACTCTACAATTCCTCCTCTGTGGCAAAAATAAAGTTTTCTTGACTGAGCACCTAATACTATATCAGACACTATGCTGTTTCCATGGTCTTGAGAAAACCAGCAGCTGAAAACGGAATTAAGAGTGTATGACCCTCTCTATAGATCTTGAACTATGTTGCACTTGTAACAGAGCTGGTTTGTTCACAAAATTTAACCTAACTTTTAATCTTGAATTCAGCATAATAACCCTAAGTAAGGAGCAGTAGTGGCACAAGTACCTTAGTGGGAACCAAAATGTCTCAAATTGGACTTAATACCTGCTCAACAAGAGGGAAACCATGCCTAATACTAGAAACCCAGCCGACTATTCAGTGCTAGTAAAGTCATGGGTCTTAGAAAGGACTAGCACTTCACTAAACTGCATAATCCTAAATACAGCTAAATATTTTCCTTCCACTCAATGGTAAGTGTAGTCCTTACCACTCATCAAGGTAAGTTCTCTTTGCAATAGATAGAGACCATTACAGAACAACTCAATCAATGTGCAGAGGTATGGAACCCCATTCCAATGGCTACATCTACTAAACAACTTGGGGACATTGTCAAAGAGGGGGAGGAAAGATTATTTTAAGAGCCAGAGAATCTGGGAGTTTTCTGTGAGATTATGTCTCCTACTAACGTCAGAAGCTACATCATAATGGTTCACCAACATGGCTGCCTAAAAATGAGCTGAACAAGGACAACAGATCTGCCAAAGCAGATGGAAGAAAGCCCATGAGGTCTTCACCCTGCACAAAAAACTGCAGCAACTAAAAAATGCTGAGAGTATGAGTCAGGCTTCCTCATGGACGATCATATCAACTAATTATCCAGTACCAAATGGTCAGCTCTGGAAACATATGAGTAACATTATAGAGACTGAACAGGTTATATTTAGAAACACATGTATATATATACACATACATGCATGTAACAACAATTAATGAGAAAGAAGATGCAGATTTGAAAGAGGAAAAAGGAGAAGTGTAAAGGGAGGAGTTGAAGGGAGGAAAGTGGAAGGGAGAAATAATGTAAATACATTATAATCTCAAGAATAAATAAGATATTTCTTAAAATTAATAGATAAGGGCCAGGCACTGGTGGCGCACACCTTTAATCCCAACACTCAGGAGGCAGAGGCAGGCAGGTATCTGTGAGTTCAAGGTCAGCCTGGTCTACAGAGTGAGTTCCAGGACCTGTCTCGAAAAACCAAAAGAGTTTCTGTCATAGGCAAATCCACGAGGACAAAAAATAAGAATCAGATTGCCAGGTGGATTCGAGGGGGAAATAAAGAGTAATTATCAATGGGCCTCAAGTTTCTCTATGGAAGGATGAAAATGTTCTAAAATTACATAGTGGTGCTGGTTCTACAGACCTGAATATATTTAAAATCAGTATATACTGAAGACATTGGACTGTATCTCAATAAAATTATCTTTGAAAGACTAAAGTATTTTGTTGTTCTTATTTACCATACACCTTTCCTGGGTAAGTGTAGCTACTACCCCTCATCAAAGAAACTTCTCTTTACAGCTGATGGAGGCCATCATAGAAAACT